TTGCATTTATAAGTGTCACTTACGCAGGGTAGAGTCCCAGATTGCTTGACACTGGTGGAGCACAAGGCCGAGCCGGGGATGGGGAGGTGACCATAAACACAATCGAACAAGGTCTTCAGGCGGGACCTGAAGATGGGGAAGGAAGGGACAAGACAGAGGGATAGAGGACAAGTGTTTCAGAGTTTCAGGGCATAGTGGTTGAAAGCGCGGCCACCAATAATCGAATGTAGTGCACGAGGGACGTGCAGGAGGCTGAAAGCAGACGAGCGGAGGGAGCGAGTTGTGGGTTGAAGAGTAAGTAGGTTGAAAAAGTAGGGAGGTACCAGGGCATGAAATAACACATTGACAGATATATTTACAGTATGTTATCCACCATTAAACACTATGTGCAGGTACAGGGCCCTGCAGACTTCAACATTTGCTCCTTTCCTCAGTACTGTGCAGTACATTATGCAGTGAACCCTCCCTGAAAGCTATATTAACCACTGGGCATGTCACTGCACTTATGCGTGGCTGAGAGGATGATGACAATGGTTGAGGTAGCGCTGAGTTCTGGAACAAGGATCGTCCTTTCCTTGATGTTTCGTGCTGTTGAGGATGCGCTGCTGATGCTTGAGGGTGGCATTGCTGAATAGCTGCACAGTAAAATATAGCTGTTAATCACATCATGTTTTTTGAAAAAGTCCAACAGCAACCATATACTTCTGTTGTAGAGAAAGCACAACTGAAACTCAGATTAGCCATTCATCATTTATGTTGCAGTATTTATATACACCAATCATAGTGTGTGCGAACCTTATCGTGACATGACATATTTTCAATAGAGCCTCAAGCCATAGAACATAAGTACATAAGAATAAAGAGCAGGAGTAGGCCATTCAGCCCTTCGTGCCTGCTCCGTCATTCAATAAGATCATGGCTGATCTTCTCACCTACTCTGATTACCTGCCCTATTCCCATATCCCCTAATCCTCTATTTTTCAAGAATCTATCAGTCTCAGCCTTGAAAATGTTCAAGGACTGAGCATCTACAGCCTTCTGGGGTAGTGAATTCCATAAGTTCACTACCCTCTGAGTGAAAAAATGTTTCCTCAACTCTGTTCTAAGAGGCTGACCCTTAATTTTAAGACTGTGACCCCTGGTTATAGATTCTCCTACCAGGGGAAACAGACCCTCAGTGTCTACTTTATCCAGCCCTTTAAGAATCTTATAAGTTTCTAAAAGATCCCCCCCTAATTCTTCTGTACTCTAGAGAATACAGCCCTAGTTTATTCAGCCTATCCTCATAGGTCAGTCCCCTCATCCCAGGAACTAACCGAGTGAATCTACGCTGCACCCCCTCAATAGACATCCACCATGGGATTCTTATGGAGAGTCAAGTGTTTTACATCAGAAGATTCCCCTCCTGACCTCTTTTGTGTATTGTAGTACAAAATGTTTGCCTGAGGATTTAGAAAATGTATAAAAGTTTGGAAGCTTTTAAGTTACATTCAATCTATTAAATGCTTGAAACATAAAAATTACAGTAGTTCAGCCAACATCAATGGTGGCCAACCTTTTATGTCACATAATAAACATTGCCATTCATTAATTACTGGAAACAAAACATTGATTTAAAATAGACTCTTCTTGACTAGTGCAAATGTTCGTCTGGGGCACTTCTTGATGGCCCCCAGGTCACTTCCGGCCCACGGGCCGTGGGTTGGCCACTGCTGGTCTACATTATTTAATATCAATATAACTTTTCATAAAATTAATGATTACAGTTAAATCTCCTCAAGTATAGAACAGAAAAATAATAATTATCCTTAAATTTGGTATAGTGCCTAAGTGCCCGAACAACTATAAAGTTGTTCTAAACTAAATGCCAGTGAGATTAAAGGTGATATCTTGTTAAATGGTTCTAAAATTAATATCTGAAAATATAAATAAACATCATACATAACTTTAGAGAAATCAATTGTTAATTGGGACTAAATCCTGGATATATATTGAGTCAAATGAAATTTCAGCCATCTGGCACAAGATGCATCCAGATTCTGCCTTTAAGGATTCCCACTTAAAATCTGTTCTATTTTTCAATAATCTTGCTAAAAGTAACAAGTCAATAAATGAACTGCAACCAACCTTTCCCAATCTTTACCCAATATCAGCCCGTTCAGTTGGTATCACTCTCGCCTCAGTCTCAGGTTGTTGTGGGTTCAAGCTTTCCATTTAGATTTTAAACTCATAGTTTAGGGTTGATGTTTTAGTGCAGTCCTTGGCGGAGCACTGGATTGTCAGAGCTGTTATCCTTTGGATGATGCATTAAATTGAAGTCCTGTACGTTCAAATAGACAACAACAACTTGGATTTATATAGCGCCCTCCACGCCAGACGGCGTCTCAGTTATAATATTCGTTTCAGATCCTATCACACTATTTGAAAAGAAAAGGACAGTTCTCCTATTCTCCCAGCAAACAACCCCCCAGATGAAAATCGGTTGTGGTTTCTTCTGGGATATTGTCGTGCAAACATTGATTAGCATATCTCTCTTCAAATACAGATTGTGCAAAATGCAGTAAAGTCTGTTCACCACTTGGAGGCAATTTGATAAAATAAGGTGGCTTATGAAATGCAAGGCTCTTTATGATTATTATTATTACTGCTACAAAACAGTAAAACACCAGGTATTTACATGACAATTATCTGCATGTCCATTTAGCTGTATCGGGTTCTGAAGGGGTATTTGACATGGGCTACTAGATGCCAGCAAAAAAAATCTGATACGCAGAAGCAAAATTGGGCACATGTGCACAAGGTAGCTAAGGACATTTTGACCCTGGTTACATTACAATTCTAGCAACCTCACTTGCACGCACACAATTTCACATGTACACACTAAAGGGATTTTTTTGCCAGTAGCAAAAGTAAGGCCTTTTATTTTTAAAGTTTAGGGTTAGAGATAAAGATATTGTAAAGAAGGATAAAAAGTTGAGAGAGAAATTCAGAGAGAAAAACACAGTGACTCAGCAAGAGAGAGAAAAAGGCAGAATTCAAGAGAAAAAAGTATCTGTGAGAATGAGAATGAGAGAGAAAATGGCAAAGGAAAATGCAGCACATTGAAAAAATAGCAGTGTGCTATTAACGTAATAGAAAAACTCCTGATGGAACAATTTTTAGTTGGTGCTATAACAATTTATATTTTGCATGAGGTCCAATTATCCACACTGTTTGCTTATCTGCCAAGGGGCCAGTCCCATTTAATGCAGATACAGTGAAACATTCTCTTCAATTGCCACAGACAAAGAGATTACTTTGTATTACTCAAAACTGTGGTGTCCTGTGGCAAGATCCATGACAAGGACAACAATTAACACACATTTTTAAGTTTGATAACGTCTCATTCAATAAAAGGTGACTTCAAAAATAATATGCTTTGTCTTCACGTATGACTAGACATTCAACCACAGGAATTTTGAGGGTGTTCTTATCTTCTTTAAGGGTTTAGTTGGATTAGGATTGAATGAAGCAGTGGACTGGAACACTGAGAGTAAAATTATACATGGAGCAAAACAAATTGCAAAATACAGTCCAATAATCGTAATACTTACCACAAACTCTGTTGCTTGGTTAGGCTTGTGAAAAAGAAATGCAAAAAAAAACGTTTTGCAAGATTCAAATCTTAGTAATTCACGCAAGATTTAAGTGAAAGTGCTAAGTGGAAAAATAGAATCCATTCTGCTTCTATGAACAAAGTTGTGTTTCTGTGAATGAATATTGACATTTCACTATTAGTAACATATGGCACCATATCCAACCATCTATTGTACACTTGCTTCTTAATATTCACCATATCAATTTCAGGGGTGAGGTAGTGGCGGAGTTGGACAATGTTACGGAGGTGATGGAAGGCAGAGCGGGTCACGGCTTGAATGTGGGGGAGAAAAGACAGTTGAGAGTTGAACAAGATACCTAGGTTCCTGACTGGCTTGGTCAGTTGTAGTGTGCAACCATGGAATTGATGTTGCCAGAGCCTGAGGTGCAGAGGCGCTGGCGCGAGCCAATCAGGAGGGCCTCAGTCTTATTCACATTTAACTGTAGGAAATTTGCCCTCATCCAGGACTTGATGTCCGACAGGCAGTCTGTCAGGACAGCAGTGGTCCTGGAGTTGAGGATGGAGGTAGAAAGATAGAGTTGGGTGTCATCCGCATACATGTGGAAGTTGACCCCATGTCTGCAGATGATGTCACCAAGGGGGAGCATGTAGATATTAAAGAGGAGAGGGCCAAGGACAGAGCCCTGGGGGACGCCAGACGTGACAGTGCGGGGGCTGGAGGAGAAACCGTTAGAGGCAACAAAGTGGAGACGTTGAGAGAGATAGGAATCGAACCAGGCAAGGGCAGATGCGTGAAGATTGAGTAAAGCGGAGGGGCAGTGTATGAGGATGGAGTGGTCGACAGTGTCAGAGGTTGAGGAGGACAAGGAGGCAGAGGGAGCCCTGATCACAGATGTTCAGAATATCATTAGTGACTTTGACCAGGGCTGTTTCCATGCTGTGGGCAGCAAGGAAGCCGGATTGGAGGGTTTCACAGAGGGAATGGTGAGAGAGAATGGTACTCCTGATGACAGCACATGCCAGCCTGGCTCATTGGCAAGACTTAGAAGGGCAGATCAGTCACTGGGGGCAGGTTCACTTCCCACTCAGCTCCTATTAATCCTGCAAGTTCTAACAAGTTGGGTGGCCTTAGCTGAAAGGCAGCAGTAAAGCTTGCCAGACCGTGCTTTTAATGACGAGCTGTGCAGTTTTAGCTGGTTAGACTCCAGCAGTAGCCCAACGCACACTCTGGGCTTCCCAAGGCTTACTCTTGCCAACCTTTGCCTGATACTTTCTGGAATTAGCAAGATGTGTTCCGCTAGGGAGAAAAAGTGCACTCCATTCTAATAAACATTTTTGTAATTTCTTTGTATAGATGGGATGCATGGAAGTCTCTGACCAAAAAATACTCCAGAAAATATCATTGATTATTACTATAATTTATTCAATCAAACTGCATTGTAGTATTCCAGTCTTTTGCATTATTTTCAGTATTTGCAATCTTTTACATAAATGCCAGTACAAATCATACTAATGATTTCCAACCAAAACATGGTGCATTTTGTGCCTAGATTTTCAATGTGCAGTATTTGGGGCAAAGCTTCAGACCATATGCAACAAACTTTTTTTTATTATTATTTGTAAGGGAATCTGTTCATCTTACTGCTCCCTATGAAAGCTGCATTACATATCTTGCATTCAAAGTCATTGCAAACAATGGAAATTAGCCCAAGCATAAATGGTAGAGGTACAATACAATGACATTATCACCATAGAATGATCAGCAAGTCAGATTGGTCAATTTCAGAAGCTTTGAGAGAAGTCTAATAAATCAGATGAAATAAAGAAATCAATGTGAACAGTTTTATGCCCTCAGTTGATGTCATGAACACATGCACCTCAAAGTAAGGCAAGCTATTGTTACAAGTGTGGACACAGAGGAAGGGGATTGCTGAAGAGAGAATACAATTTCATCCTGTGAACATTTGCTATGGGAACTAGGGTGCCTTCTATTCAGCTTGCGTCCAGAAGCTTTGAGTATCACAAACTGAGGATCATGTAATGAGGATCCTTTCATGACATGAGAAGGAATAGAACGTTGACTCTTATCATGTTCAAAAGTTTCATCCTTCTTAACTTCCTTCCTGCTACTTAGATTGACATTTAGAGTGATGTGGAGTCCTGTACCTCAGTGGTTAGAGCACTCGCTTTGCAAGCAAGCGACCGGGATTCAATTCACGGCAGGATGAAATCTTGGGCAAGTTTCCTTACTCCACACGCTTGATAATAATCCCTCAAAAAAAAATTGGTCATTTCAATCCACGACTGTTTGTGGGACACTGTTGTGTGCAATTGGCTGCCGCATTTCGTCCACAAATATACAGTCAATTCAGTCTATTATGTGAATTGCTTTGAGATGTCTAGAAGACTTGAAAAGCACGATATCAAATACAAGGATTATTATTATTATTTCTTTGTGTTAAAAAAAAATGGGACTTTACCAGTCTTGTAGCACTTGTGACTGGTCTATAATAATAATCTTTTTATTTGATATAGCGCCTTATCACGTCTTTGAGACATCTCAAAGCTCTACAATCTCATTTCTAGCATTTTATCAGAAGGGAGAGCATATAATGGGGATTCATACTTATTACTTTACACAACTCGGCTTTTCCATAGCTTTCAGAATATCTCAACATTGCATGTCAATATATACAAATATTTCAATAAATAATTGATTTATTTCAATTCTATGCTATGATCTTATAAATTAAAAATATGTTTGTTTAACACAACAAATGGAATGTTCTCACATACATATGAAAATAAAAATCATTCAGCAATTAAAAACAAACAATGCTGTAAACCAAAACAATATTAACTGTAGTTCAAATCCATCTTGGGGAAATTTTCAAGGCACTTTCTAGGCAAATCATGTTTCCATCTTCAGCCAAATGACTCTGCAATAAAAATAGCCAGTAATTTAGAAACTAAATAATAATATAGCATCTTACCATGTCATTAAAACCTTTCAAAGCACTTCAGAGTTTTTTACTCTAAAATGTAGTGACTGTGTATTTGTAAGTGAACAGCTACAAATAAGTTGATTCCTAGTTAAAGTAAAATTTCCTATTATTTAAACAACTTTCAAACGTATTAAAATTCTACATGGATTTATTGGATTTTTTCCCCCTAACATTGGGATCTAAAACAACAACTGTTTTAGCAAGTGTCAATAAGTATTAATGAATTAAATTAATAATAATCCTTGCATTTGATATAATGCCTTTTGTGCTACAACGATGCCTCAACTTAAACCAATAATGTATTGTGCAGTGATCCCATTATAAGCACATACAGCAAAAATGAAACTTTTAATACCGAGTAATAATTGCACATCTGGTCAGAGTTAAACACATCATTGATAAATTCACATACGTGCACTTACATGAAAAACATTTACTGTTGTCTACATGATGGACTCAAGGATAATTGTTTTAGCAATCTTGCACATCGTCTATAAACTGAAACAGAAAGAAGACAGAAAGGATTACCACCAATTGTTATAATCTGACAATTTGGTATTAAGAAAACAATTATATCTCTGAAGAGCTTTATTTCAACATCTGGTATTATACCTGAAGACTCTTGACAAATATTCAGTGCAAAACTGGATATGTACCAAGTGAATAATCTCAGAAGCATTTGGATCAGAGCCTCAAAATTTCACATATTCTTAAGATCATTATCAAAATTTAAGATAGTGTGGAATTTTGGAGAACAGGATTAAATTCAGTCTCAATTTGGGGACAAGAAACATCAGTGGGTCGAAATTCTGGTATACAAAATTAGAAAGAGTTAATGTCAGCTGAGTTGCACTAGTTCGGGTGTGCTCAGATATTGTGAGGGATGCACATATCTTCCCTATCACTGTCCAGCAAGTGAGAAGCAGCATAGCTAATTACTGCCTGGCAAACAATCTCACACTATTGTCCTGCAAAGCCAGTCCCCTGGTTCTCTGACAGGGGAGTTAAGGAACTGAACAAGGCCACAAAACAGCACCTAGCAACCACAAAGTGGATGCAATTTCCCAAGCCTGTGGCATAGAGTGGTACACCCCATCCCCATCCAGGAACCAACATTTTATGAGCTGATGGACATGCACTGTTCAATTTTCCTGCTGTCAGGTCACACTTACTTATGTTGTGTCATGCAGTACCTCTGAATAGAAGGTGAAACTCCAAAAGCATTATGTGTAATTTCATACTGGTGAATAAAAGTGTATTACACATTGTGTCAGAGGTTAGTAGCTTCTAACCATCAAATCTTATGGCCCTGTACTTTCTTGAAAACAATAGAAAGAGAAAAACATTGGAAGACTGACAGAGAACAAAATCACAAGTTTGGTCCAAATGAAGAAGGTCCTTCAAACCATCTGAGCTCCCTCCAGAATAACAATAACAACAACTTGCATTTATATAGTGGCCTTCACGTGGGGTAGCATCTCAGAGCATTTGATGCCATCTCCTATCAAAGCATCAAGCTGTTTTTAAATGGCTCTAGTATTCTGGCCTCAACAACAAATTCCATTTGTATTGCGTCTTTCAAATGGGGAGGACTTCCCAAGGCACTGGTGCTCAACAATCCTACCTGGCACTTGTTCCAGTTATTAATTACTTTTTGGGTAAAGAAAAGGTTACTGCTGTTCTTGTTCTACTGCCTCAGTGGATTCTTGAGTATGATATCTGGGTACCTGATCTAAATTGAGGGAGCTTGGTTAAAATATATGCAAGGAACAGTCGGGGTCCCATACAGACCCCTGAGGCACCCCACTTAATACCGTCTCCTATTTTATCCAAGCTCCCTTAGCAAACAAGGTCAGGCAAGACCTACTCTGTCTGAACCTGTGATGGTTATCATTTATTAGATTATATTTTATACAAATAATGTTCTACTTCCTTTCTAATGATTGACTCCGTAAGTTTTCCATTTACGGAGGTCAAGCTCATGGAATTATAGTTGGCAGGACTATTTCTGTCACTTCTTGTGAATATGGGAACATTTACTTGCCTCCAATATTAAAAGAATTTTGGTGTCATGTTCTGCATTTGCTGCTCTGCCCTGTTCCAATTCTCTCTTAGCGCTCCTCTTTTTTTTACTTCCTTCTGCACAGTCTTGCATTTAATGTACATTATATATACAAATCTCTTCCTTCTAGGAAGTGCAGGGAAATTAAGATACTTTAAAATTATGTTATATTTTAATAATGTAAGCATATTCACACTAAATAATGCCAATAAAACCAGACCTTTGTACCTAAAAGGATACCAAGTGATAATGTTATACAAATAGAAACAGATATAAATATTCCCCAATAAGTGACCACAAGCATTTGAACAATGGAAATAATAGCATGCTTATAACAATCGATGTAACCAACATTTTAATAGGAGACTGTTAAATTACAGCATTTCTTTGAAGGTTTAGGTCCATTTTTCTCTAACAAATGTTGATAAATGCTAGTAGGCGAAGCTTCTTTTCTACAGGATTCATAAAGAAATGTTCAAGTCTCTCTGCAGTACTTGTAGCAATCTATCTCTTCCCCCTCTTCAGCTTCCCTGTTTTCTAGCTACCAGTCAGCAATGTAAACAGCCTCAAGGCATCCACCTCACTGCTAGATCACAGAAGTAGTTAGCTTGTGAGAGTGATTACTTGACAGCATAATGCTCAAGAAACACAAGTACTTTACAACTCGAGCTGATGATCCTTGAATTTTTATAAAGCACCTATAATTCTGAATCTTCTCAAAGTGCTTCAAAGAGAATTATTGCCAAATGTAATGACAACAATTCTGTGTGATAACATACAATTGCCTCAAAAGGTCCCATAACAGCCATGAACTAAATGGATAATTTACCTAGTGGTTGTAACCAACTGAGTAGATTTGACACCCTTAAATTATAGGTTATTAAATAACATTAAATTAAGTTGTAGTTTTTACGGCAAACTTATGTTTGTGGTGATTCACCACAGAATGAATTAATAATAATAATAATATAATAATCCTTGCATTTGATATAGCGCTTTTCACGTCGGGAGGACGTCCCAAAGCGCTTCACAGAACACACTGTAAAGTGAATTGACTGTATATTTGTGGGCGAACGCGGCAGCCAATTGCGCACAGCAATGTCCCACAAACAATCGTAGATTGAAAATGACCAATTTATTATTGTTTTTGGTTTTTGGAGGGATTATTATTAGGTGTGTGGAGCAAGGAAACTTGCCCAAGGTTTCGCCCTGCCTGGAATTGAACTCAGGTCTCTAATACTATTATTGTCCTTATTATTTGGCTCAAATTATATAGCCTGAGCAGTGAAAATAAAATACAAGACCCTCATTAAGACCTTGAGCTTACAGTCTAGGTTGACACTCCAGTACATTCAACCACGACAACAACTTGTATTTATATAGATCTCTCACACAGGGCAGCGTCTCAGAACACTTGAAGGGCTGCTTTGTCAAAGGTATTGTTCTTTGAAAGACCTGTCTGTTATTCAGGTGAACATTAAAGATCCCATGGTACTATTTGAAAAGAAGAGTTTCTCCTAATATCCTGGGCAACAATTCACCAAATAAAATTGGTCAAATTGGCTGCTGCATTCACCTACAATATATATTGCTGTGTGCAATTGACTGCCATGTTTTGCCCACAAAATATACAGTCAATTCACTTTACAGTATATTCTGTGAAGCGCCTTTGAGAGGTCTAGAAGACATGAAAAGCGCTATATCAAATGCAAGGATTATTATTTTAGATGATTATATATATAGTATAAAATCCTGTGAAGAACTATCGATGTCTTGTTCACATGATAAAGTGCTATATTCTTATTATTTAGCTTAAATTGTGCAGGTCCAGAGTGGAAATAAAACTCCAAACAGTAAAGGAAATAATTAAAATTCCCAAAGTCTCGTTGTAGCGAGAGAAAATCTGAAAGGGCAGTTATATGTCAATAAAAAAAATACAACTGATTTGGAGGATTTAACCAAACTGAAGAGGTTGTTGAAGGTTCCTGCTACTGTGCCTCAGAGGTCAAACAATTCCAGATAAGTAGCAATCCAACTTCTCAGGCTGCAGAGCATCACTGGACTTGGATGAGATAGATTTGTTGCTTGACTGAGATGAGATGGATTTGGAGGCTGAGGTCCCATAAATCTGCCTTTTCCAATGTTTGTTCAAATCAGATTTGCATAATCTCTTAGCCTAATATATTTTACATGCCTTTGGTCTTTAACCCTTTATCCTTAACAGAAATAAAACTTGCAATTGACACGGGAATATACATGAGCTTCATTGTTTAATTAATTAATTCATTGGAGTTAATTTAACACTGTTGGAAGATGTGTTTCATATATAATACTGTAGAAAATGAAGGAGTTTTTAATGAAGGGTTGATAGTTATGTGGAATAAGCGACCAGCCTACATGGTCGAAAAAGGTTTCAATAAGAAACTGAGCGTGACACAATTAACTTGATAATAGTAAATAATAATCCTTGCATTTGATAAAGCGCTTTTCACGTCTTCTCGACGTCTCAAAGCACTTCACAGAATAGACTGTAAAGTGAATTGACCGTATATTTGTGGGCGAAATGCGGCAGCCAATTGCACACAGCAGTGTCCCACAAACAGTCGTGGATTGAAAATGATCAATTTATTATTGTTTTGGAGGGATTATTATTAGGCGTGTGGAGTAAGGAAACTTGCCCAAGGTTTCGCCCTGCCTGGAATTGAACTCAGGTCTCTCGCTGGCAAAGCGAGTGCTCTCACCACTGAGCTACTGGACTCCACATAAGTTTGCAGATGATACTAAGATAAAAAAAAGTTGTAAACGGTGAGGAGGATAGTAGCAGACTGCAAGAGGACATAGACAGACTGGAAAAATGGGCAGACACGTGGCAGATGAAGTTTAACATGGCGAAATGCGAAGTGATGTATTTTGGGAGGAAGAATGAGGAGAGGCAATATAAGATAGATGGTATAATCTTAAAGAGGATGAAGGAACAGAGAGATCTGGGGGTTCATATAAGTCAATCTTTGAAGGTAGCAGTACAGGTAGATAAAGCTGTTAAAAAAAGGATACAGGATACTAGGCTTTATAAATAGAAGCATAGAATAGAAAAGTCAGGAAGTTATGATGAACCTTTATAAAACATTGGTTAGGCCGCAGCTAGTGTATTGTGGGCACCACACTTTAGGAAGGATGTCAAGGCATTGGAGAGGGTGCAAAGGAGATTTACCAGGATGATACCAGGAATGAGGGACTTCAGTTATCAGAAGAGGCTAGAGAAGCTAGGATTATTTTCCTTGGAGCAGAGAAGGTTAAAAGGAGGGGAATTATGAGGGGATTCGATTGGGTGAACAAGGAGATACAATTTCCAATGGCGGGTGGGTCGGTAATCCGATTCAAAATAATTGTTAAAAGAAACAGAGGGAAGGTGATAAGAATTTTTTTCACACAGCGA